ACAGTGAACCATGCAGTGTTTAAGAAAAAAAATCTAGTATTTAAACTACAACCACAAGGAGTGGTGAAGCTAAAAAGGCCATTCAGTACTGGTTATATAGATTGGGCCATGTTCAAGAGTAAGGAGTGCTAGCCTGCTGAGGGTGGTTATGGAATCTTTTCCCAAAAAAAAAAAAAAAAAGGTAATTTTAGAAACTAGAAGTTAACATGAGAAAATTTTTGTTAAGTGTTAACTGGTTAAACCAAATTTAACAGTGTATGGTTATAACCGAATAAAAAACAACTATCAATAGAAAAAATAATGAAAGGAGAGTTTCAAATGTTAACACTGATGGGAGGGTGGTAGGTTAGCTGAGGGTGAGGTTTTTTTCTTTTATCAAATTTTCCTGACTATCATATATTACTCTGTTGCTTTAAAAACAACGTAGATATTTTGAGAGTATATATTTGGTATGTGTCTTTCTAGATCTTTTTCTCTGCATTTACATACCCATCCCCGCTCCATACACACACACACTACATGTTTTACTTTTTAAATGGAATTATATAATTTAACTTTGGAGTAGAAGAGAAATTATAAAAGCACTTCTCCAAAACTGCTTGTGAGAGAACATGTCAAAGGCTCTGGTTTTTGGCTTTGAATTTTTTGTTAAGGAACAGTTTAACTTCTGATAGCAGAAGTTGGTTATTGCCGCAGCCCAGAGCCCTGGTATGAAGGGCAGGAACAAGGCAGCTCCTGTTCTTACAGCCCTGAAACATGTATCTGATGACATGAAGACTCACAAGAACCCTGCCCTGAAGGCTCAGAGTGGTCCAGTACGAAGTGGCCCCAAACCATTCTCTGCACCTAAACCAGGAGTCAGCCCATCCCCCAAACCAGCCACGAAGAAGGAGCCAGCTGTACTTGAACTGGAGGGCAAGAAGTGGAGAGTGGTGAGTTAAAGATGCCAGGACTGGGGGACCAGGGAGTAGGGATGGGGGGTTAAATGGAGCACAGCCAAATGAGGGCACGATTCTGGATTAGCTTGCAAGAACGAAAGTTTGGGATAGCCTGTTTTTGGGGGTTGTGTGTGCTTAGTGATGAGATTCCTGAAAGGGGTATCTCTTTAACAGGAAAATCAGGAGAATGTTTCCAACCTGGTAATTGATGACACGGAGCTGAAACAGGTGGCTTACATATACAAGTGTGTCAACACGACATTGCAAATCAAGGGCAAAATTAACTCCATTACAGTAGGTGAGTTCTTGTTGTTGTCCTAGGCAGGCTCTGTCCTAGAGCCTGAGAGGGTGGGAGCCATACCTACTCTATTCCTAAAGATTCTTAAATACATTACTTTCCTTTAAAGTTACACTGTTAACCTGCTCCCTTTCTTCTCCTAGATAACTGTAAGAAACTTGGCCTGGTGTTCGATGACGTGGTGGGCATTGTGGAGATAATCAATAGTAGGGATGTCAAAGTTCAGGTAACTTGATATCTGGACTCCTTCCTTTGGTCCCTGAGAAATTAATTAAAAGAGGCAGCAGACTCACAGAAGTTGCGGTGGGAATCTGATTCTACAAAGTCTGTAAGCTGAGCTGCTTTGGATGTGGCAGGAGAAGAGTTGGCTCTTACAGTGAGCTCTTTCCAGCTCCCATCCCAACCTGCCCCTAGTATCCAGTATCTGTTGAGACCTGTGAGCTTTTCCTGTAGTTTCTGAATCATGTGAAACAGTGAAAGCTTTCCCCGCAGCTTACTCTTGTTCTCCCCAGCTACTGAGACTCAGGGTTCTTGGTTTTCTCTGCAGGTAATTGGTAAAGTGCCAACCATTTCCATCAACAAAACAGATGGCTGCCATGTTTACCTGAGCAAAAATTCCCTGGATTGTGAGATAGTCAGTGCCAAATCTTCTGAAATGAATGTCCTCATTCCTACAGAATGCGGTGACTTTGTAAGTTTCTTGATCTCTTTAGTAGTATGATCTAAAAACAGAAGGGACTGAAGGCTTCTTACATGGGAGAAAGCTAGTTGATGGACATTCTACACTGAGTGGGTCAAACCCAGCAACGCACACCGACATGTGAGGTGGTCCCACTCCCACGAAGCAGAGCTCCAAAGGACAGTGGTTTCTGCCTTTCTTAGGTTGAGCAGATGCTCAGGGTAGTAAAAAGGAATGGGATTGAGGCAGAGCCCCCTGTTGAGCTGGTGCCATGAAGCCATACACATTCTCATCTGTGCCTCATAGTTTTATCTGTCTAAGATCACTGATCAGTGAACAGTAAGAAACAGATTCAAACCTGCATCTGTCTGGCTTTGGAGCCTTTGTACTCATTCCTACACGGAATGCTCCTTCGTTGTGTCGGTGGTAGGGGAGAGGGTGGTATAAGATGGTGCGCCTCTAGTCACATAGCCATGCTTTTTCAGGGGGTTCAGTTTCTCTGTCACTACATCCTACCTGCTCTCAGAGTTTAATGAAAGCATTGGGAGAAAAGTGTAAGATTTAACCCTAACTTATTTTTTAGCTCAGATTTAAACCTGTTGTTTCTTTATTTGCAGAACGAGTTCCCAGTCCCTGAGCAGTTCAAGACCCTATGGAATGGGCAGAAGTTGGTCACCACAGTGACAGAAATTGCTGGATAAGCGAAGTGCCACTGAGTCTTTACCCTCTCCCTCACACCATGGGATAAATCTTTATCAAGACGGTTCTTTTCTAGATTTCCTCTACCTTTCTGCTCTTAAACGGCTTCTCTGCTTTGAGAAGCACAGCTACCTGCCTTCACTGAAATATACCTCAGGCTGAGATTTGGGGTGGGATAGCAGGTCAGTTGATCTTCTGCAAGAAGGTGCAGCTTTTCCATATCAGCTCAACCACACCGCCAGTCCATTCTTAAGGAACCGCAGACCAGGACTGGTATGTTTTAGCTTTCAGCCTTTGCAGGTTATTTGACCAACAGTCTTTTGGGAAGAATAAAGCAGTCCCCAGGAATTAAGAGATCAGAATGTTCACACAAGTTAATATTTTCTAACAAAAAGCATGAAGGTAGCAGAAGCTAGTGTGATTCCAGTTGGTTCTTCTAACCAAACTAATTTTTCAGTGTTGACAAGTGAGGCAAGTATTGTACTGGACCAAAGGCTGAAGCTTGGCCATCTAGCATTCCAAGCAAAATTGTTTCCTGTAAGCATTCCTTTTATTCTGCATTCCATCCTGGGTCTGCCTCAACCTGAGATAGTCGGTTCTCTTGTACCAGCTGCTGTGGCAGTGCCCTGCACCCAGGCCAGTTAAAGGTGTCTTGGACCCTTTCTTTCTCTGGGATCCCTGCCCAGCACCTTCCTACAGAGATGACTTAAAACAGAAAAAAAAGAAAAACCTACCATTCCAAGGAATCTGGCATTCCCTCCTCCTTCCATGCTAGGTGCCTGTCATCCATCTTCACTGCCTCTTTTGCCCTGTCATGCTCAACGCTTTTGGCCTCTGTCCAGGCACCTGAACAGGGGACTAAAATCTCCATTGCAGGCTGGTTTTAGGTCTTATGTAAAATTCTTGCACAGCATTGCTAATGTAAATTTCAGTTTTTCCCTCTAGGACAAACACTTAACCAAAATATGCAGCTTTTTTTGGTGGAAAGAGAGATTGTCCTGTGACTTTTACCCATTTCCTGAGGCCTGTGGAAATAAACCTTTATGTACTTAAAGTTATACAGAAAATAGAATAAAATTAATACCAAACTTGTTTAGTATTCACCTATGATATTTCCTGTACAGAGATGTAAGGATATTGAAAAGAAAAATGACACCAAGGATAAGAAACTACTCTTTATTTCAGACGACCTCATAAAATTATTTTCACATTCCCCCCAATTCTTGCCCTTAATCTTCATCTTTCAGTGGAAAAATAAGGCGTGAGAGAGGTGAAGGAAAGATCATAAAGGGTCAACTTTGCAGCACCAACAAGGTGCTTCTCTCAAGCATAGCTAATCATTTCCCCAAACTGGCATTCTGTAGAACATTCTTCCAAAAAGTGTTGATAGGTTTTCATGGGATGGGGGAGTAGGGACTAAGACGTCCATGCTCAAATGGTATGGGAAACAGTAGATTAAAGTTAATTTTCTTTACTGTAACAGGAATTTTCAGAGTCCTTAATATTCTAATGTGAGTTGATCTCCAAGAGGAGAAAAGGGGTATGGGATATTCCCCAAGCTTTTTGAGCAAACAATCCTTTTCTCACAGAGCATATCAGAAACAGTTTGGAGTGTACTGATAAATATGATTTTTTGAGATGGAAATTAGAAAGCCTGATCTCTTCACATTTTTTCTCCCATGCTCTGCTGACACCAGCAAGAGTGACTCTAGAATCTTGACCACTAGTCATATTAAGAAAGGACAGGTTAATCAAGGATGGAATGGAAAGAACCAGCTGCCTCCTCATTTTTCATTTCCCTTGCTACATTTTTCTTCACATTTCCCTAAGCTGAGCAATATGTACACGTCCTCCCTTAAGGAATCCAATTGGATGCTACTTTCCACCTTTTGTGACAGAGCAACTAATTCATCACTACCCGAGGAGACAAAAAGAGTGCTGCAAGGCAATATGGGGGGACTAGGGGAATTTGTCTAATAATTGCTAAGACACCACAGGAGGCAACATACTCAAAGAGAGGAGGGCAGCCGTAAGAGATTATGCAGAAACATCCAAGCAGTACTTTCCCAAGCACTGGTTAAATCTTCACGAGCAAAACTGAGAAAGCATTTATGTGAACACCTCAGGCCTAGGTTCTGGCCTCTTGGCTTGAAAATGGGCTCAATTTTCCTGAGAAAAGTGCCCTTAGGATCTATCTCATTGGTTTAGTTTGTTCAGTCTCTTCTGGACCTTGGCACAGTTCTGACACTGACCTGTAGCAGACTGTTTCCTAAGTCAGCTTGATCACATCAAAGGGTTGTAAAACAATCTCCATGGTTATTAACTAATTAAACTTGCATTCAACACCATGTGCTGATAGGATGAGGCAAAGAATAAGATTCAGATCTTAGATCTTTCCGAGCAGGGCATGTTAGATGATGACTAGAGAGGAGGATTAGTTACAAGCTGGGTCTGAGCTCAGGCTTGGGCATGAAAGGAACTATCTTCCACTGATTTGGAACCATAGGGGCTCCCTGAGCTCTGGTGCAAACTGCAAAGGTTTCATTCAAGGAAGGGTATGATGTGGGCATAAAACCATTCCTCAGACAGTTGAAGATGGTCCCCTTCTACAGCCAGAAACACTAGCTGTCCTGCCTTGTCCATTGCTTTTAGCCCCAGGCGGTCCTGCAAAAAGAAAGGCCATAATTAATCAAGAGGCTTAATGAAAAGTTTTATTAGAGTAAAATAGTAAAGAAATAGAATGTTAACTTGAGATATATTCTCAAAATGCAATCTTTTCCCTTAGTATTAAAATGTAGGTATACTGTTGAAAATGCCAAAAAGGATATCTCTCTCCTTTTTTTCCTAAGCTTTAAAAATGTATATGTAATTGAGATTATTCTAGCCAGTTTTATATTCTGTTTTCTAAAGTTTCCCAAAGCTTCTGGTGGACCACTTATGGGTGGGCAAGCCACAGACAAAACTCCCTCAAAATGTCAGTTAAGTGGGACTGAGCCAAACACAGGAGAACATTAACTAGATAACTTAAAACATATCTAACCCTTAGATAACAAACCTCAGACACTTTCATATCCTGCAATTGCAAATATTACTCCTAGCAGGGGTGCTGCAGAACAAGCATGGTTGGGAAGGTGAGCAGTTATGACGGTGCCAGAATGTTGCTTCTGCTGAGACTACTATCAGTTTGAGTTTCATAAGGAAGTTCTTAGTTGTAATTTCCAAAACTCTTAACAGACCCTAGCTTCCCTTTCCTTTTACCTCACCCAAGCTGGGGCACTAATGCAGGAAAAAGCCAAGAGAGGAGACAGTTGGCCTCTGAAATTACTTGGAGGAATTCTAATAGAAGGTGAATGGTTCAGATGTGGCACTTGTGCATTTTTAGAAGAGTCTATCCCATATAAAATCCTTTGAGCGTGGAAGGCCCCAGAACTGGAGGTGAAATGCTGCAACTTCTGCTTAGGAAACAGGACCTACTGCTAAACAAAATTCGTAAGTCTCTTCCTATTCAGTCTCCTGCAGCAGGAGCTCCCCTGTCAGTGCCTAATTTGAAAACAGGATTTCCACATCTATTACTATTTTAAAGTAACACCCTTCTCTTCTATTTTCATTATGCATGGAGGCTTCTTGGATTTGTAGCAGACTGCACCACAGCAAAGGAAGCCAATTCTAACTCAGAAGGAAAGAGTTAGAGTCCCTTGCACATGCTTGAGAACCATGAGGTACGGGTCCTTCCACCTTCAGGATGTAGATTCTGGAAACCAATGCCTGATATGTTAGTGCAACAATCCAACCTAACAAGCCTTGCTCATATCAGACATGAATCAGATGCCTCATGAGCACCTACTGCTCTGGGGTGAACAGGACAGGGTCTACCACCAAAGAACCTAGTAGCTTCAGGAACCTGAGGCTGAAAAGAACAGTGCCTCTTCTCCCCAGTTACCTGTGTGTACAGAGTGGTCTCCTGTAATGGAATGGTTTCCTTGGCTTGGCCACTTCTGTAAAATCCAAACCACTGCAGGGGAGGAGGAAGAAATAAGGTCAGATCAGACATACAGCACACACTGCCAAACTAAGACTGGCTAGTACCAACAAACTGAACATCATAAAGCTGTAGCAAGGAGGAAAAACAGGATGTCTTGAGTCACCTCTTTTTAAGGGTGGATCCTGAGGATAAGTTAATCTTTCCAAAGAGCTTTCCAATTCCTCAGAATTTCTCCTTCCTACAATTATTGAGCACCTACCCTGTGAAAATTCTTGTGCTCAACTCTAGACATTAAAAGATGAATATATACATGGTCCTGTTTTCAAGACGCTTTAGTCTAATGAGGCATAGAAACAACTAATTGTTTAGCACAGGAGTCAGCAAACTTCTGTAAAGGCCAGATAACAAAATATTTTAGGCTTTAAGGGCCACATGGATGCAACTCTCAATGCTGCCATTGTAATGCAAAAGCAGCCACAGAGGATATTTTAAAAATGAATATGGATTTATTGCAATGAAACTATTGACACTGAAATTTGAATTTCATATAATTTTCACGTCACCAAATATTTTTTTTCAACCATTTAAAAATGTAAAAACCAGGGCCGGCGCCATGGCATGGTGGTTAAGTGCGTGCGCTCCGCTGCTGGCGGCCTGAGTTCGGATCCTGGGCACGCACCGATGCACCGCTTGTCAGGCCATGCTGTGGCGGCGTCCCATATAAAGTAGAGGAAGATAGGCATGGATGTTAGCCCGGGGCCAGTCTTCCTCAGCAAAAAGAGGAGGATTGGCATGGATGTTAGCTCAGAGCTGATCTTCCTCACAAAAATAAATAAATAAAATAAAAATAAAAATGTAAAAACCATTTTTAGTTCGTGGACCGTACAAAAGCAGGTGGCAGCCTGGATTTGGCCCACAGGCTGCAGTTTACATGCTAGTCCCTCGTGGTCTGACATAATGTGATAACTGCTCTAATGGAGGCCGATGGTTCCACAAAAGAGGGAGCAAATTCTGCTTGGACTAGGGATGGCGTCCTGGATGGAGGAAGTGACATTTGAGTTTGGCCTTGACAGATGAATAGGAGCTTGTCAGGTGGAGAAGCTCAGGGAAGGGCATTCTAGAGACTGAAAAACTTGATCAGAGAATGTATGAAGTGGGCAGTGAAGGGAGGTTAGGTTGGAAAAATAGGTCAAAGCCAGGTCAAGGCAGACCTTGAATGCCAACCTTAAGGATTTATAGACTTTGGGCTGGTGGTTCTGAACCTTTTCTGAGTCACAGATCTCTCTGAAAATCTGATAAAAATTATAGACCCTTCCTCAGAGAATGCAACTACACAATTCTGCATACAAGTTGTCGGGGGGTGGGTTATAACCCTCAGTGTCCCATTTATAGATCTCAGGGGAGGAAGCCCTGCTCTATACAAAGGCTGGTGGAAGGACTGAAGGTTTTTCCCCCCGCAGGCAGCTGTATTCTAATGCCATTCACTCCTGTGGTCTCCTGGCATGTTGTGGCCTGCCTAAGCAGTGTCTCACCTCAGAATCCACAGGGTCCACAATGGAATCATTGAGGAATTTCACCATTACAAACTTCTTCAAGGCCATCAGGTTTTTCTTATAGGACTCGTTGACACCCTGGAGGAAAGACCATCAGGGACATCATCATCAGGTTCCAGCAGGGGGATTAAAGCCTTTCAGTGCTCTGGTCTCCCTGACCGTGGGCCACCATGTTTCTTCCCCATGGTAGGGGCTGCTTTTCCAGCTTCCTGCCCAAAATATACCTTGTATAGCCTTTTCTTACCATCCTATCTGATTGACATGCCCCCATCAACCACGGCACACAGGTGCCACCATGAATCGGTCACTGCACTCCACAGGGATCCATCACATAGGTTAAAGGCTTCTAGCCAGAAAAAGCCAAGGCAAAACCAAAAAACTGCAAATTCTGCGTGGTTCTGCTATACTATTCTATTTTTTCCCTTCATTTTGTTTTTAAAACCCCCAGATAAGTTCAATATAAATTGAGCCACCTAGTTTATCAGAATCTCCCAAACCATGCTCGTGTTTGGGACACACTCAGTCCCCTCTGAAGTCTCTCTTCTAAGTAAATTTCTCTTCTGAGAAAATTTGACCAAAAAGGGACCCACCAGGAAGGCTTCGCTCAGTCAGACAGCAGCTGAGAAGTTCCACTAAGCCAGCCAACAGCCTACCGAGCTCGCCCTGCTTCTTCCCCACTAGGCAAGGGAAAGGGCCTAAGGGAAAGAAGCCAAATGAACTTCAGCCTTCCTAAAAAGAACTGAATCTCATAAGCACTGGCTCCCAGAAAACAGAACTTCTGTTTCCCAGGCTCTGCCCAGGATATTCTGGTAAACAGTCACTGCTGATCTGTTTATAATTCCCTGAATGGAAAACTGAATGCACAACTATGGTGGCCTGGGTTGCTTACTCTCTCCTGATTAATATCTGCCAAGAAGACGCTGTGGTTGCGGTACACATCCTCCTGTATGGGGTCGTGCCAGTATTCTGCTTGCACCAGGCTGCAGGAAGAAAAAGGAATGATGGTGACCAAGCTGCATGTCAGCCAGCACGCCTGGGGCATGCACTGTGCACAGGCCACCAGGAGACTTCACAAGGACAAAAGACCAGAGCCCTCAAGCCCAGACCTTGCCCTCTAACAGGGAAGACAAGACTTCCACCCACAAAACAGTCCAGCAACAAGACACCTGAGGCAAGGATGTGCTATTTAGCACAGTACAGAAAGTCTTAAAGATTTAAGAAAAGGACTCACCAATGCTGGTTCCAATATTGAGAACCAATGTGGCATTGAGCTTCGTCACATTTATCATGCCTCCAGGTCATGGTGGCACATGCTGTCCCCTCCCATAACCCCACCTCCTTCACCCTCGTTTGTTTCCTAATCATCCTGCAAGACCCAGCTCAAACACCACCACCTCTGCCTCCTCTTCATCCAACCATCTATCTCTTCATCCATTTTGCCATCCTCAGACTGGGATGGAGGTCTAACCTTTCAATCACAGAGCATTTATCATACGATTGAGTGATGACAGTACTTTCCAGGATTCTGGTATGTCATGCAATTTTTAAGGACAAAAAGCAGGTATTTGGTGGTTATAATGGTATTATTGAAGACTATTATTTCAGACATCTGTTCATACCTTTTTACTTTCTCTCCAGTCTCCACTTCCCCTTCCCTTCCCTCCCAACCCTCCCCCCATCAAAACTGACACCTTTACCACAAGGCCTCCCAGCAGCTAGTTTCCACTTAGTTCCTGCATCTAAACAGCAGCATTCCCACCAAACAAAATGCTCAGCATGGACCTACTGGGAGAAGTCCTCTGGGGAAAGGGAGGTATCAGAGCATGCGTAGGACTCTCTATCCCAGCTTGGCAAGGAAAGAAATCAAAATTTCTACAACACAAGCATCCCAGCCAGAGTGGAAGAGCTGCCCAGAGGCAGTGGTGCTGAAAGCTCTACTCAGCAGAGCAGGACTGCACGAAAGCCCAATGGAACCAGCTATGTCAGAGATGACAGCAGCTCCTAGTGCCCAGAAGCAGATAGGACTGAGGTTAAAGGAAGCAGCAGCTGGACTGTTGGCAGTCAGAGTACATTCTATAATCCATTTATAAATGTATCTGAAAGCTTTTTTTTTTTTTTTTGTAAGGAGATCAGCCCTGTGCTAACATCTGCCAATTCTCCTCTTTTTTCTGCTGAGGAAGACTGGCCCTGGGCTAACATCCGTGCTCATCTTCCTCCACTTTATATGGGACGCCACCACAGCATGGCTTGACAAGCAGTGCATCGGTTTGCTCCCGGGATCCGAACGGGCGAACCCCAGGCCGCCGCAGCAGAGCACACGCACTTAACCGCTTGCGCCACCGGGCCAGCCCCATCTGAAAGCTTTTAAGTGTTTAGTTTCACTGATTTTTTAAAATGTCAGGAGCTGTGAACATTTATAAAATACTGATACTATTTTAGTACTGGTCTTGTCATGTTGTTTTAGCATTGCCCTCACTCACCATGTGAGAGTGTTGGTTCCCTGTGTCTCCTACGGGACTATAAGCTCCTTTAGCAGCGAGTGTCTGGCACATAGCGGGTGCTCAGTAGTAAGGGTTTGCAGAATGAAATGGATGGATGTCAGACAAGCTATGAGAGAAGTGGGCTTGGCACTGAAGGAGGAGTAGGATTTAGAGGCGTGAGGAGAAGGGAGGGCAGTATAGTTCAAAGAACAAGGGAACAGAAAGCTTCAAGAGTGGGTGGTCAACGGTGTCAAATGCTGAGAAGTGGTGAGCACTGAGCACACACACTTTTCACAGAGGTGGTGAATCAAAGTTTCTTCAAAAAATGTAAGGGAATGAATACAAAGGTCTTTGGATCTTGCCAGGCCAGGTTCTGGTGACCCAAAATTGCAGTGGGGAGGCCTAATGGCTGATGATGAAAGAAAGGAAAAGGCAGTGGTCACAGGTCACCTTTCTGTGTGAAAAGGAAACAGAGCTAAGAAGGGGCAACAGGAAGAGATGAAGGACATTGTGTTTTGTAAGAAGCCTGGTGCACAGAGGACGAGGGGAAAGACCTGAGGGTGAGCGGAGGCTGAAAGTGCTGTAGAAAGGGGGGATGTTAGGGAGGGGGAAGGTTCTTCAGGAGGTGGAGAGAGAAAAAACATGGCTTGTACTATTATCTCCTGTTTACCACTGAAGGGCCAAATTCAGAGAGGTTAAGTAACTCTCCTAAAACTACACATCAGTTGTAGAAAAGGTAAGATAGGAGCCTCAATCTGTCTGAGCCACGGTCTTTCCAATGCAGCACACTGCAGAGGAAGGAAAAGACAGCTCCCTGGGCAGAACTACCCAACCACAGGCCACTCCGGTGAGAGGAGCCTTTACCCTCTGAGGCCTGCTCTAGCCACTGTGGCTTACAGACAATAAAAGTAACACTTGTACAGCACTTACCACATACCAGGCCTATTCTAAGCACTTCACATATATCAGCCTATTTAATCCTTACAAGAATCCCACAGGATGGGTACTATTACTATCCTCATGTTAACAAATGCAGCAACCAGACCCAGCGTGATTAAGTAGCTTGTCCAAGGTCATGCTGCTAAGAAGTAATAGAGCCAGAACAGTTAGGCAGGCAGTCTAGCTCCAGAAGCCTTGCTCTAACCACTAGACACACCGTCTCTGCTGCCAATGGGATGCAGATAACACCAGCCTTATGTCAGACAGACATAGGTTGGCATCATAGGTATTTTACCTCTGAGCCTGTTTCTTTACAGGGTTATTGTGAAAATTAAACAAGACATGTAAAGTTCTAGTACTGTGTCCACTCGTGGTAAAATTTAATAAAAGACAGTGATATCAGACCTATCATTATTCTATTTTGTTCCTCCTTGCCCTCACTCTGATCCAGCTACCAGCGTAGTTTTCATAGAGAAATGCTGTTTGAAGGCCTAGCCTGAGAGAAACAAGAGCCTGAAGCAGAGGAAAAGAGGGCAGCAGAGGATGTGCTGAGGTGACACCACAACTCTCTAAGGAATTCAGCCTAGATCATGAGATGATTTTTGGTGGAAAATGACACACTAATTCTAAAATTCAGATCGAACAATACAAGTCCAAGCACAGCCAAGACTTGAAGAGGAGTTAAGTAAAAGTTGCTATGGTAACTAAAACAGTGGGGTAATTGGGTAGAAATAGACAAATCAGTGGAACAGAACAGCCCAGAAACAGACTCAAGCACAGACAACCTCAGGTGGATGAAAAACATGAGAATGAAAAACAAAACCTTAAAAACAAGAGGAAAATCTGAGATAGGAGAAAAGCCTTATGCATCAATCATAAAGACTGATCAATTTGACTGAATCCAAATTAAAAGCTGCTATACCTGATGCTGGTTGCACAACACTGTGAATGTAATTAATGCCACTGAAACTTACACTTAAAAATGGTTAAAATGGCAAATCTTGTGTTATATATTTTTTACCACAACTTTAAAAATATTAGTAACTAATATACCAAAAACCAATGAATTGTACACTTTAAATGGGTGAACTGTATGGTATGTGAATTATATCTCAATAAAGCTGTTAAAAAAAAACACACAAAAACCTGCTGCACCAAAAAAGGTACTATAAACAAAATTAAAAGATAAGCCACAGACTGGGAGAAGTTAAGTGTAACATATCTACCAAAGAAAGGCCTAATATTCAAAATATATGTGCAGTGTGTGTGCATAATACAAAGCATTAAGAAAAAGACAAAGCACCCAACAGAAAAACAGGCAAATGCAATGAAGAGGCAGTTCACAGAAAGGAGACCTGAGTGGCCCATAAACAGGAACAGATGCCCAACCTGACTAATAAACAAGCACATGTGGATAGAACTAGGAACCACTCCACACACATCTGACTGGCAAAAATTAATAGACGGAGGGTCAAAAGTTAGTAAGAATGGAGAGAACAGGAACTCTCACACTCTGTGGGTGGGAATATAATACGGTACAGTAACCACATTGGCAATACTGAGTCAAGTTTAAAACACATTCTAATAATCACTGTAATAACAGCAGCCAACATACACTGATTGAGTGTTTTCAAGGTACTGTTCTACGCACTCTACATCAATTAGCTCATTTAACCTTCTCTACAACCCATGAGGGATAATTATTGCCCTATTTTTCAGATGATGAAACTCAGGCAGAGGGGGCAAGTAACTTCCCCCAAATTACCCAGTTAGTAACTGGCAGAGTCTACACGTAGACAAATTCTCGTTCAAAGACGTTCACTGCAAATTCTTATTTATAATGAGAAACTGGGAATGCTGAAATGTTTGCAATATGGGAATCAATAAACTGTGGTGTAGTCACATAAGCTAGAATGCCACACAGCAGTCAAGATGAGTGAACTAGATGTATATGTAACAACATGTTTAGATCTCACAAAATATTGAGTGAAAAAATAATTTGCAGAATTAAATGCACAGTAAGATATCCATTACATGAAATTTTAAATATACAAAATGACACTATATATTGATTATGGATCAATGTATATGTACGTATATAATAACATTTTTTTTTAATGGACAGAAAGAATATACCCTGATTTCTTGACAGTGGTTGTCACTGTGGAGGGAGAGCAGAGAATGGGACCTGGGAGAGAGATGTAGAAGAATTCAATTCTATCTGAAATGTTTCAGTTCTAAAAAATTCTGAGGTAAATATGACAAAATATTAAATTTAGGTCCTAGGGACACAGTAGTTTGTTACATTACTCTCTATACTTTTCTGAATGGTTGAAAAGTGTCTGAGGGAGCTTGAGTGGATGCTTCAATATTTCCAGAAGAGGGAATAGCAAGTTGAGGGCAAAGGTGTGGGGAGAAGGGGACACCTGAGGAAAAGTGGGACACTCTGAGAGCCATTATTGGGGGGCACAGGGCTGGGAGCCAGGGGCCAAGGGGAGGGCAAGCTGAGAGAGCAGAGCTGGCACAGGGGCAGACAAGAGGCCAAGGCCAGGGCAACACTG